CCCCGGCGGCGCCTCGGCGGGGGCTGCCACCAGCCCCCGGCGCAGGATCAGCTCCTTGGTGGCCAGGGAGGTGGCTGGAGGGGATGGGGCTGCTGGAGGCTCCAACTGGTACGTCAGTCCATCCGTCCTGGTGATGCCTGTGAGGACAACTCCGTTCTGTGCATCCACTCCTGCTGCAAAGAGAATGGGACCGGATCACTGAGGGCTTTTGATCGAGGGGTTCCCTGTGAGGGTTTTCTCTGAGGTCTGGAAGTGCTTTATGAGCAGCCCAGCACGTGGATATCTCCAGCCCTCAGCAGAGCTTTGGTGGGACGCAGGGTCTGCAAGGTGAGAACTGTCCAGGGTGCCCCATCCCTCGAGGCTGTCACCCTTCCAACCCACCCTTGTAATTACCATTTGCCCAGTAGCCAGGTGTGTCACCAGCACTACCCCTCACACCTATTCCTGGGCTTGTTCCTGCCTTGTGTGAACTCCTAGAGACCCTTCCCAGACCCAACCCCACCACCAGGCAGTGCCCAGCCCCTGGCCATACCTACACACCCCCGTGCCACCATGATGGGGGGGTGATCGTGGGGCGGTGGGGCTGGTCCCACACCCGAGGGCAGCCCCTTGCAGGAGGGCTCATGGCCAGGGTTTGGCTCCTCTGGTGGTGGTGGGGACACTCCTGCACGCCGCTGAGCCTGGGGGAGGAAGGCACTGTGTTTAGCTGGTGGCATGTGGTGACCAAGACAGTGTGCCACCCCTCACCTGGTTTGTCTGGCTGGAAGCAGCACTGAGCAGCTGAAAGGGGCCTGAAATTCCCAGGTAGGAATCCTAGAGGTGCAGGGGCACAAGGTGGTGCTCAAGACAGTGGGGGCTGAGGCAGCCTTGGTCACCCCATCTGCTTCACATCCACAGCCAAGGGTGGCATGAGGGTTGTGACTTGAGGCCACCAAGTACACAAGAGGGAGAAAGCAGAATGCAGGGATGTGGCCATGACCATGGGAGCCCTGGGTTTTGCTGGGGGCACCAGAAGACAGCCTGGCCCATGGGATGGAGCCTGTGATGCTGCCTTGTACCCGCTGTGATCTGAGGACCTTCCCACCAGTGGGACATGATGCTGTGGGTGTGGGGGCTACCTCCTCAGCTGCCGTCTTCCAGTCCATGCGGGAGATGTAGGTGATGAAGCATGTGCAGAGGAGGGAGACACAGACGAGCATGCTGAGCCACAAGCCTGAGGAGGGGACAATGGCCTCAGCCAAACGCTGCCCAGAGGCATCGAGGGACAGTGAGTCAGGAAAGGGGACATCACCGAGGTCAGCAGGGACATGAGGATGGGGCTGCCTGGCAGACATGGCAGCAGTTGTTGTTTTTTTTCCCAGTAGGAGTTAAAAGTTCTCAGTGGTTGCAGAAACCATCCCCATCCACCCCAGGATGCCCAGTCCCCAACCAGGTAGATGGGCAGAGCCAGATGGGAGGGCTGTGCTGAGCCATCAGTGAGGAGCATCTGCTCACAGGGGATTTTCAGGGTGTTGCCTGGGGGTTTGGTACCTATGACTCCGATCTTGGCCACGAAGAGCAGCACAGCTGCCAGGGGCAGCCCCACCCCGTAGTAGCTCACGGCGTTGAGGATGGCACCAAATTTCTGCTTGCCAATGCCCCTGAGCACCCCGCTGCAGGCACCCTGCAGGGAGAGGGAGAGGGGCTGAGGCCAGGGCTGGATCTGCCACCTGGGCCAAATTCCAGGCTCTGCTGCTGCCTGGGGTTCTGGTGACCCAGCCTGGTGATGAACCAGCTCCCTTTCCCTGCCTGATTGTATCTGTGTCCCTGCCTGGTCCTGTGGTCAGCACCTCTTTGTGAACTTGCTGTTTTTGCAGGGGTGATCCTAGGAGCTCTGCAGGGTCCCAGCACGTGTCCCAGCGTCCACCCACAGCCTGAGGAACCCTCGACTAACCCACCTGCTGTGCTGCCACTCAGCACTGAGGCCCCCCTACCAAAAAGCAGCAGCATCCCCAGGGACTTACACACATGGCTTCAAACAAGTGGAAGACAACGTAGACGGGTATGACCCAGGCCACCAAGTCAACAATCTCCCTGGGGACAGAGAAGAGCCAATGATGGCTTTTGGAAGCCAACCTCAGTGCACCAAGGCTGGGACCTGGGGACACTCACTTGTCACTGGTGAAGATGTATCCCAGCACATCCTTTGAAGCAGCTAGAATGGCCCCCACAGCTACGCAAAAAAACCCTGAAAAGGAGAACAAAGCGCTGGGCCTGTCCTGGCTGTGACAGGGAGCAGGGGACATTGGTGTGTGCTGTGGGCAGGGGACTCCAGGTACTCCCTGCTCCAGCTGGTAGGAGCCCCAGAGAAGGCTTCACCTGTGCAGAGCAGGCTGGTGGAGGATGATCTCTTGGCCGTCTCGACGTCGCCGGCGCCCAGCGCGTTCCCCACCCGCACACTGGCAGCTGTGCCCAGCCCCAGGGGGATCTGCAACACAGGGCTGAGGCTCAAAGGTGTGTCCAGGTAATGAGGCCATCACAGCCACAGCAAGAACAACCATTCAGCAGAGAGGGGGATGGGTCAGAGGGCTCGATTTAAAACATCTCAATGGGAGGGATAAGCAGGAGCAGGGAGAGGTGCAGAGGCGTAAGACCAAGATTTGCTGGAGCTGAAGTATGAAGTGCAAGGACAGGCTGAGAGAGTTGGGGATGTTCATCCTGGAGAAGACAAGGCTCCAGGCAGACCTTAGAGCACTTTGCAGTACCTGAAGGGGCTACAGGAAAGCTGGAGAAGGACTTTTTAAAAGCACCTGGAGGGGTAGGACAAGGGGAAACAGTTTTAAGCTGAAAGAGGGGAGATTTAGATATTAAGAAGAAATTCTTTCCTGTGAGGGTGGTGAGAAACTGTCCCAGATTGCCCAGAAGCTGTGGGAAGCTGTGGCTGCCCCATCCCTGGAAGCGTTCAAGGGCAGCTTGGATGGGACTTGGAGCAACCTGGTCTGGTGGGAGGTGTCCCTGCCCATGGCAGGGGGGTTAAAATAGATGACCTTTAAGGTCCTTTCCAACACAAACCAGCCTGGGGTTGTATAGTTTGTGCTGGTGTCTGTATTGGACTATCCCTAGGGAGCCCTGATCAGAAATAACCTGCAGCCCTTACCATGAAAGCAACAACAGAGATCTCATAGATGATGGACTGGGCAGAGAGCTCTACAACACTCAGCAGGCCTGGGGGAGAGGAGAGGGTCAGTGCTGGGGATGGGTGCCCAGTCAAGAGCTGCTCCCACCCCCTGTGACTGCTTCAGATCCCAGTCAGGGTCACCCCCTGTCTATCCATTTCAGATCCCCTTCTCTGCTGACCTATCAAGAAGCTCCCAATTTCATAGGTCCACCACTCAATGCACATCATGAGCATGCTGGGGATAGCCAGGGAGATGAAGCTGTCCCATTCCAGCAGGCACTCACTGGACCAGCCTGTGGAGAGGAGAAATGTCACCTAATGGAGGACCAGACTGGCCATATGTTACACCCTCGAGAGCACCCAAGGCAGCTGGAGGTGCCGTTCCTGTTTGTAGGCAACGCTCCTCAGCTCCATGGACCTCCAGCAGCAGAGCATGCACACACAAACTCTGCTGATGCTGTCCTGTGGGCCAGAGAGATACAACCCTCAGCTCCTACCCCCAGCAGCAGAGTGTCTGAGGACAACCTCATGCTTACAGCTGTGCTGGTGTCTGTGCTCACCCTACAAAGCCTCGGCAGAAAGTTTCATTTCTCCAGAATTAATGTTTACTGCAGGGCACAGGGCTCTGCCAACCCTTGCCCATGATGAGCTGCCAGCCAAGCAGCACCACAGTCCCAGGGCACACCAGGCTGGGGTTAATATTTCACCACCAAGACTAACAGAATCTGCTTGGTAGAAGTGGTGGAAGATTCATAAATTCTTGTGTAAAGCAGGAACTGGGGAGGAGGGGGGGGAGCTGGCCAGGGGCCCTTACCTCCCCAGGTCTTCACGTGGAGCTTCTTGCCTATAATATACAGGAACAAGAAAATGGTCTGTGCATACTGAGCAACAGTGTTGGCCCAGGCAGAGCCTCTGCAAAGGAAAGGAGACAGGTTGTCAGAGCCTGCCCACTCCTCGGGGCGCCGAAGCATCACGTCCAGCCATGTCCCCACCAGCTCTGGATGCTCCAGGCCACACCTGGAGGTGCTGACATCCCTGGGCAGTCCCTTGCCATGGCCAAGTGTTGTGTTTTCCCCTCCGTGGGAGGTAGACCCCACTCACGTGATGCCCAAGTGGAGCACGTAGAGGAAGATGCAGTTTGCAATGACATTGACGACGTTGCCGACGACCCCGCTCAGCACCAGTGGCCACATGATCATCTGCAAAGAGGAGCAGATGGGGGCTACAGCATCTTCACAAAAGCTTCAGGAGAGAGGTGTGAAGGTCCCCACCAGCCCTATGCTCAGCAGCTTTCCCAGCCAAAAGATAAACTTTTGATCACGTTGCCTGCTTGGAAAAGGAGCTTGTTGGGGTAAATCCCTGATGTGGAGAAGCACCGAGGAAGGTCCCTCAGGCAGATGGACACAACTGGCCGTGGAATGGGGTGATCTCCAGGGTCAGAGCTGCTGCAGGGCACCCAGGTGGTGGTAGGAACAAATGCTGCCTCAACACCAGGAATGGTGAGCATGAAAATCCCTAGGTGCACAGTCAAAGGGAGCCCAGAGCCAGGACCAACCCTCCATGGGACTCACCTGGTTCTGCAGGTATCTTGTCTCCAAGTTATACAGAAAAACTGCCTGAAAAGGAAATTGGGGAATGAGATGAAGCCAGTGCTGAGCAGGAGCTGTGCTGCTGGTGTGGAAAATCGGAGCAGGGTGTCTGGTTCCCGTGTGTGGCAGCACCCAGGGTGCCCACAGGGACTCACTGGCAGAGCAGGCACAAACGCCATCACGTAGCGCTGGGTCAGCCTGGGGGACACGAGAGGCAGGTCAGGAATGGGCCACGGCCACAGCTCCCCCCTCCCTGGCAGCCCCAGGGAGGCTGGGAGGGATGAGGTGGTGTCTGGGCTGACCTGGAGACCTCGGGATCCTGGTGGATGAGGAGCAGGAACTGCTCGATGTTGATGAGGACGGCGCAGCAGGGGAAGCAGCAGAGCAGGAGGATGAGGATGGCCCGCTGCAGGATCACCCCCACACGCAGCAGGTTCTTGCTGCCGTAGGTCTGCAAGGGGAGGGCAGGGTGAGCTCTGCTGCCTGGCAGCTCGCTGGTGACAGGGGGGACAGGGACCTCACAGAGCAACCCTGAGCATCCCACAGACTGCCCAGGAGGGATTTGGTATTTCACAGGGAGCACAGAACTCCTTGTTTTGGGAACAAGCTTCCCCGGGTGGCAGGTGCAGCTGGGGCTCTGGGAAAACCCCACGTCACCAGTTCAAGTGCCAAGATCTCCTACCTACCTGGGATATCAAGGTGTCACAAGCTGAAGACAAACCATATCCTACAGAGATAGCAGTAACGTTTATAACCTGGAAACAAGGAGTTAAAGAGAGAACGTGAGAGTTTCAGGCTTTCAGGCAGAGAGAAGGGCTCAAAAGGAAAAGTGGGAGTGGGAAATCCCCTCTGTGCTCATCTGCCTCCATTCCCAGGCTCCCTGGGGCAGTCCCCAGGAATGCTTACAGCGATGGCCAGCGTGACAGAGGCCAGCTCCACCTTGCCCAGGTGGCCACAGAATATGGAGCTGACGAGGTGTATCAGGAAGATCAGCAGCTGGATCAGGATCTAAGTGTGGGGAAGAGGAGAGACAAAGGTCAGAGACAATAGTGCTGGTGGGAGACCCTGGGGTCAGAACAGGGCACAGGCTGGGAGGACAGCTGTGTGCATTCAGCTGAGGGTAGTTAAGCAATCCAAGCTCCCAGCTGAAGCTGATCTGAGGTTTTAAAGCCCCTTGCTGGGGGGGTTTAAGCAGCATTCTGGCTCTGGAGGTCTCACACCGGCTGGGCTCTGTGGGCCAAGGGACCAGCTCCCCGTGGCATCAGGCTGAAGCTGCAGCTTCTCCAGGCTGGGAGGACAGCTGTGTGCATTCAGCTGAGGGTAGTTAAGCAATCCAAGCTCCCAGCTGAAGCTGATCTGAGGTTTTAAAGCCCCTTGCTGGGGGGGTTTAAGCAGCATTCTGGCTCTGGAGGTCTCACACCGGCTGGGCTCTGTGGGCCAAGGGACCAGCTCCCCGTGGCATCAGGCTGAAGCTGCAGCTTCTCCAACACACCAGTGCTCTCCTCCCAGGGTCCTTACCAGCGGCCCTGCCAG